ATGCCAGAAATCCGGAAGAAAATGCCGCATCTCAACATAGAGCGTGTTCTTCCTTCTTATCCTATCCAAGAGGGTGTTCTGTATCGTTCTGAGAGCGCGCCAACGATGTGTGTACAGCATCTCGTAATGCGAGTTCGAGATGATGTCTCTATACCGCAATTGCATAGCGCCTGGGAGAAAGCAGTGGCAGATATCGATATTCTAAGGTTTGAACATTACCCTGTCTCCGAATTTCTCTCATGATATCATAATAGGACTGTATTTTTCTTTGGCAAGACCCTGGTCCAGGTGCTTTTGTCGCGTGCAACCTGTCACCTTCATTGGGAGGAGTCTTCCGTTGCAGCGAGCGACAGTGAAACTTTTGCCAACCATTTCTTTGATGAAGAAGCCACGAGAGTTTCTGTGGAAATCAACACCCTCATCACTTCTGTACCGCCCGTTCGTCTTCGGCTCTACCACCAATCCTACGGCACTTACATTGTACTATCCATTCATCACGCATTGTTCGACGCTATTTCTCTGCCTCGCATACTGAAGTACGTCGAGGACGCATATCTTGACCAGCCGCTTCAGAATCTAACCCCTCCCAATCAAATATTGGAACACACAACGTTTCGGGACCTGACTCCTGCTCGAGAGTATTGGACGTCGACTCTTCGTGATTTTAACTGGTCTTACCGCAATTTGATGGATGCAACCCAATCAGCTTCTCCTAAACGGATCTCCATAACTCTTGATACGCCGCTTTCATACTTCCAACAAATGCTTGCCCATTGCCAAGTTACATTGCAGGCCGCGTTGACTTGCACATTTGCTTCGATTCTCGCAAACCGTTTGTGCCTGTCCGACGACTTAATCTTTGGGGTAAGCCCTACCGTGCTTGAGCTGAGCATCACTGACTGTGCAGCTTAGATCATTAGATCGGGTAGGTTAGCACCTGTCGAGGGTATGGGTGACGCCCTCATCCCTCTGCTATCTCTTGTCCCTATGCGCGTCAACCTCAACAACCCCGATTGTCTTCGTCAAGTTCAGGATGACATCATTACTGCGATTCCGTTCGAAAATGTTCCTCTTGGGCAGGTGCAGAAATGGGTTAGACCGGGTGCTGGTTTATTCGACATTCTTTTCTCGGTCATGTACAAAGACCAGCCTGCGTACGAGCTTTTTGATGTCGTGCGAAGTGAATTGCCTCAACCTGACGTGAGTTTTCTGTCTCATACTTCATCATGCTTAGCCTTAGCCACCATCATCCAGTTCTTCCTGTCTGTGGAAGTTGTAGTGGATGTCTCAACAGATCAGCTCATTCTTCAGGCAGCCTTCTATGATGACGGATCCCAGGCTGCCGATATTGAATCGATGCTTCTTCAATTTGAGTCTGAGGCTCGCGGTGTCGTGACCTCTGGAGTGCCCCATGTCACTGTTCCACAAAAGTCCCAAGTCAATCGAGCGGAATCCACACCACCGGTCAATACCGCTAATGGCACACGCGATTCTAATGGGGAAAGGGGCATCAGTGTAGCCCTGCACTCCGTGAGGAAGATCATAGCTGAGTTTTTGGGTGTTGATCCCCAACGGCTGTGGTCGAGAACATCATTTATTGCCCTGGGCCTCGATTCCATCAGGTCGGTGGGGCTTTCGCGAGCACTCAAGGAAGAAGGATACCATGTAACTGCAGCAGAACTTATGAAGTCCGCATGTCTGGCTGAACTAGAGTCCTTACCGATGCTACTTCAAGATGTTAGTCGTGCACAGTTGGAGTTGGAAGCCCGGAATCTATTTCAAGAACAATGTCGTATACTGGAGTCCCATTTTGACGTCGCCACCTGTCGGTTTTCTGATCGCGATGAAGCCAGGATACTTCCAACGACCGCTTTGCAGGCAGGGATGTTATCACAGGTAACAAATAACTCTTCTTCTTTGAGTGTAGTTACTGATATGCTGCTTCATCAGACGGTTATCTCCTCAGGCTTGCTCTATAATCATGTATTCATGTTCAAGCTGGCATCTTCCGTGGAGCACGCCCGTCTTCGGCAAGCTTGTCAATCCATTGTCACGAGCTTTGACATCTTCAGGACAACATTCCATTACATCGTCGACCTGGGGAAATGGGCACAAGTTTCGCATTCTGATGCGCCCATGGTTTGGATCGAGGTCCACCTGCACGCTGGAGAATCTCTAGATGCGATGATCAAAACTGTCACCGCATCAACGAGCGTATCAGAGCAGGGAACGTTCAAGCCTTCATTGGCTTTTTGTTTGGTCGAACAGCAGGAAGACGCTGGGACCAAGAACTATTCCCTTGCAATTGCCATGCATCATGCTATATATGATGGTATTTCCATTGGAGCGCTGCTCGAAGAGTTGGAGCGGGCGTATCAAGCCCATTCTTCCACGAAAATTCCTCAATTCTATGACGTGCTTCCTTTGATACTACGGGAAGAACATCAAAGCATTCCCTTTTGGGTCCAACATCTGCAAGATTTTCGTCCTGTTCCACTACCTCGCGCGGAGTCTAGTACACAGCCTTCCTCGGTCGTCTATTCTCGTCGATTGAAGCTGGACCACAATGTCCTGAAGACGGCTGCCAGTGGTGCGGGTGTTACTCTTCAGTGTTTGGGGCAGGCGGCTTGGTCAAAGTTCATCTCATCAAAAGTGTCTTCCTGGGATATAATGTTCGGGCACGTTGTCTCTGGACGCTCTTTTCCAGGCTACGAAGACGTTATTGGACCCATGTTGGTACGTATTTTAACCGAGGGGCAGGCTTACATGCACTGACTATGCGGGGTGTAGAACACTATACCGTGTCGTGTTCGTATCGGCGAAACCACGACAAATAGGGACTTGTTGCGTTCTATCCATGCACATAACTTGGCCGCGTTAGAGTGGCAACACGCTTCACTTCGTGACATACAATCAGAGACGGGGCTCTTTGAACTATGGGACAGCATATTTGTGTTTCAACCTCTAAAATCCAAATCTTCAAGTCCTTTATGGAGTTTGCTCAATCCAGACGAGTCTGAAGCCAACATCCAGGTACATACTTCGCCACTTCTGTATACCTCTACTAATTGGGCTACTTTAGTATCCATTGAACTGCGAGTTTCACGAAATGGATGATGGATTTTCTGTGACGTTGGCTTGCATGTCAAATATCATGGATCCGGAGTCTTTGGATCATGAAATGTCGCGGCTTGAGGCCTTCCTCGGTACTATTATCTCCCAACCGAATGCTAAGGCTGTCGCAGATCTTCCCTTTGACGGCAGAAAGCTTCCCCTCCATAGCAATGTATCGACGGCCAGCATCGCACCCCGCAGAGGAATAGACCATTTACCTCCTGCGTTAGTCAATGTCCTAACTTCTGTCGCCAAATGTTCTGCCGACAAGCTGGACCCGGACAGACCAATTGCAGCTATTGGGATTGACTCGATCACAGCGATTCAGCTCAGTGCAAAATGTAGGGAAGCAGGAATCGCGTTGAGCATTGCGGATATTATCGCTTGCCGTACAATCGGTGATTTGGCTGCCAGGGTAGTCGAAGTGGAAACACAGCCAAAGACCCATCCACCGCGACTGGATTATATAGCCCCTGAGATCGATTTCCAAGCTTTCGCTGACAGATTCCCATCCGACCGGCGCGGAGACCTCACGATTGCTCGGGCGACCTCTGGCATGAAATGGCTCATTTGCGCTTGGCAAAGAAGTCATTATGCGCGATTTCAACATGTGTTCGCCTGGAGAATGACCCAGAAAATCGATCCTGAACGACTACGTAGCTCGTGGACAGAGTTCATTTCCCGACATCCCATTCTCAGGTCAACATTCGTCTCCACAAAGTCTCATTCGGACGTCCATATAGCGACCTTCAGTACCGACAAAATGGAAAGCTCATTTGCCGTTGAGCCATTTGATGATTCGGCCGACAACACGGATAACCTGCAGGCGCGGATGAACATGATCATCTCTCACCCAGCTCCAACTGATGGACCTCAGGCCTACGGACTGCTTTTGAATGGCTTGCACAACCAATATTTATTGATTAGAATGCATCATTTCCAATACGATGCCTGGAGTCTTGGGCTTTTGATCGAGGACCTCTCCCACATCTACCTTGGACAACCCTCGTCGGTCACGTCAGATTATGAAGCGTTCATGTCAACATTTGCACCAACGCCAGAAAATCTCCAGAAGCAGGAAGAATATTGGCGGTCCACCTTCTCACCCTCTTTCCGGCCAGCATATTTTCCCCAGCTCAAAGCTCTCGTAGTTCGGGATGAGATCATCCCTCGAACTATCGTTATCGCGAAGGATGTAGTGCATGGGGCATCCACCCTTGAACAGCGCGCTCGGGTGCATGGCGTGTCGCTACAGAGCGTTTTGCTGGCATGCTGGGCATACATCCAATCTTCCTATATGTCGCCAGAGCAAGTGACATTTGGATTATGGCACGCAGGTCGAACAGGGCCTGTCAAAGATATTGACAGATTGGCTTTCCCATGCATGAACGTGCTGCCAATGCACACTCGTCTCGGAAGCAACAGCATCATAGATGTTGCTCGTAGCATTCAAGACGACCTACGGTTGCGCACTCCTGTCGTCCAGCAGACGGATCTTCAAATGATTGACCAGTGGATAGGAGGCACGGGTGCACCATTGTGCAATGTGTTTGTCAACTTGATTAGGCCCTTGGCATCAGACGATGAGGAGGCCGGACTGTTCGGATCGGTAGATGTCAGTGGTGTCCCAAGCGAGATTGCTCGAGATCTAACTCTCACATACAGATTGCCTACACGGTACCGGAAGACGTCTCAGAATCCGATCCGAAAACTGTCGACTGGATCCCTACGTCGAATCTTATACAGGTCAGATTCATGTCATATTTCTCGCCTGGAGACCACGCTAAATTGCGATTTAGGACGATGTTATGGTTGAAATTATTGTACACCCTTTGGAGGATACAATAACGATGTCGATCGAGAGTGCCCCAGCTATCATGGACACGCAACTCGCCAGGAAAGTTATTGATTACTGGTCAGAGATAGTTGGAGGCCATTGGGAGAGTGCTCCTGTCAACATGAGGACTATATCAATGTAATAGACAGTACTCAAGTACTCACAATACTAGACTAGGCGTGATGACCTCTGCGGGCAGCGTCTAAGCATTCTTGCTCTAAGCCGCCGTACCAGATAACCTCGATACCGGCATCCTTCATCTTTCGTGCACCCTCACATTTGACAAAGTCATCTGGCTCTTGTACACCTATAATGCAACGTCTGATTCTGGCGCGAATGAGGGCGTCAGCGCAGGCAGACAGGCCCGATGTTCTGACTGAGCATGGTTCAAGAGTGGTATAAACGTCTACGAGAGGAAGAAGGTCTTCTACGACAGGTACTGCTTCCAATGGCCATGGAGAAACGAGAGATTGCAGCTGCGGGGAAGTGAGACTCTCAAACTTGGCCAAAGCATTTGCCTCCGCATGAGTGTTCCCTGGTAATTCCCTCGAGAAACCCTTGGACAACACAATTGGTTCTGAGTCTGGAAAACGCGCCACAAGGACGCATCCTACACAGAATGCTGTCTGTACAGGTTCGCAGAAGGCAGCCTGCTCTAATGCCTGACGCATGAATGGATCATGCTCGTGGTCTTCTGGAATCGGTGTTGGCGTCATGTGTGGCAGGTAATTAATAAGTACCGCCGGATTGCTGCCAGGGCTTCAAGTTTGGCATCTCAGCTTCGTTACTAGTGACCATATACATACCTTACTTGTCCTGGAGGCTCGAAACAGGTCGGGGGACCTAGTGACGACGATGTACAACCCCCGGTGGGCTTGGCTAGGATTGACTTTCGGCATTAATGCTTTGTATTACGTAACAGCATGTGGCGCGGCGAAGTCCGCGTAAATTGAGCACGTCTTGCTCATGAACCATCATGTCTTCGCCTTCAGCAGATCCTGTTGACCGTGTCATCGAGGACGATGAGACAATGGCCTCTGTTCAAGAGGAAGAAGGGGAAGGGGATGCCACTATGGCAGATCCCCAGGTCATTTCGGACGATAGCTCTGAGGAAGCGGAGGAAGACGAGGAAGAGGCGAGAAGAATCAGGGAAGGCTTTATTGTAGACGAAGATGAGGACGAGGAGGAAGACGATGACGAGGCAAGGCATCGACGAAGGAAGCGGCGTAAGAGGAGACATCGGAGACGCGGTAAGCATATGAATTGGGCTTATTAATACAATGTTCTAAGTATTTTCTCAGACGAGGAGGAGGCCTTGGAAGAAGATGACCTTGAGCTGCTAGAGGAAAACACAGGCACTTCATTCAGGAATCGACTGACTCGCTTACGACGCGGGCCAGAAGGTGGTTCTCCACCCGCTCCATCGACCTCTAAGCGCAAACCAGTTGTGGAATCGTCAGAAGATGACTTAGATGATGAGGACCTGCCGCAAGTCCAGGATATTCAGCGGATTTGGGATGATGAGCGCGCTGGAGGTGGACGTGATGATGAGGAAGACATGGACGATTTCATCGACTACGAAGATGAAGACGAAGGTGCTGGTGCTATGGATGAGCAGGAACGTGAGGAAAGACGAAGAGAGAGGAAGAAGCGAGAGAGGGAGAGGCGGAGAGCTATTGGCTCTCGTCCTGAGCTAGCTGGCATCGACGATATGTAAGTCAAATGTCAATTCCTTGGGTTACACCATTCATAGTGGGTGCAAATTCAGGGCATGGGACGAAATACATGGTGTCTTCGGAGACGGCCATGACTATGATTGGGCATTGATGGGTGACGATGAAATGGATTTCGAGGAAGAGCGTCTCAAGCCGGAGATGAGATATCAAGACGTACGTATACTCATCCAACTCCTCCTGTGGAACATATTTACTCTCTTTCATTAGGTATTCGAACCGTCAGAGATCCGTGCACGTATGTTGACTGAGGATGATGATCTGATTCGGGCGCAAGATATACCAGAGCGCATGCAATTAGCAACTTCGTCACTTTCTCAATCATCGACGCTATCCCTTCACCAGAACCTTACTGAAGCTGATTTGGACGATGCAGCAATGTGGGTTACCGTCCGACTATCCCCTCGAAAAACAAGAGATTTCTTTAGTCCGGAAGGCCCGTACAACATGTATCGCGAGCCTTTGGTCATGGCCGTGACGTATGCTCTTCGTCTTCTTTTCGTCCAGGAGTTCGAAGTCCCGTATATTTGGACTCACAAACGGGACTACATCTCGTATTTCAACCCTCAAGAAATGCGCACTCGGGTTCAGCTTATCAGCCTCGCCGAACTCTGGCGCATATATGCACTTGGCCAAAAATATCGGTCTTTAGCTCAAAGGAGGAACGCCCTAGCCTTGTCGTATGCGCGCCTGAATGTCGAGGACGAGTATTTTGAGCAGACAATTAGGCCAAAAATTGACAGTGTGGAGGTCGTCACTGATGCAACCGAATGGTTGACCATGAGGTATAAACTCAAGAAGCAGGATGCCTTTGACTTCCAGTTCCACGACGACGACGATCAAGCGGAAACCAGAAAGCGAAAGGCTCCCAGCCGCATATCTGCGTACGAGGTAGCCAAGAAGAGTATAGTTTCTAAACTTGCTGATGTACGCCAATCCCCTTCTGAGTTACCCGCATGCGTTCATGTTTTGCCGTATTATAGGGCTTCGGTATTAAACCACACGAGGTGGTTTACAACTTCGTTGCACAAGAGAACGCGCATTTCGTCGATGATCAGGAGCTGAATCCCGTTGCATTTGCGGAGCAGTTTACAGATCCGGATGCCGTTGTGACACAACCCGCTGAAGAGGTACTGCGTCGTGCTCGGATGATTCTTGCAACAGAACTTGGCAAAGATCCTTTGTTGCGTCAAGCAATGCGTGATCTTTTCAAGACTGATGCTTTGATCTCTGTACTGCCAACAGAGAGGGGAATGACTAAGATCGATGAGCACCATCCATACTTTGTGAGTACTGCCGACTTTTGGTCGAGCGCCTACTCAACTTTTTCTGCATCAGAATTTCAAGTACCTTCATCACAAGAGTATTACGCAGATGATGGACACACCACAGTTTCTTCATATCCTTGCGGCAGAAGCTGAGCTCTTGGTCACCGTATCAACATTCCTTACCAACGAGGCAAAGTCGAAGTTCGAGCGTAGACTCAACGATGCCTTCGCATCTGACAGTTATAGTGATACTGCCAGAGCTTGGAATGAAGAGCGATCACGTGTCGTCCAAGAGGCCCTTGAACAACACCTCATACCTGTGGGTGTTAAGTGGGCGCGGGAATGGCTTCGAGAGGAAGTAGAAGACACACTCGCAGCGCACTGTGGCAACGTTTTGAGAGAGGTGCTTTTTCACTCTTACTATTGATCTGTCATTGACACATTCTCAGCGCATTGACGTGGCTCCATATATCACTCCCGAAATGAAACCTGGTGACACTGCGTCTGTACTTGCCGTATCTTGGGGCAAGGGGGACCCTCAAAAGGATGCCATCACCTTGGTTTTCCTAGACGAGGCAGGGAGACTGCGCGAGCATACAAAAATTGACAATCTTGTTGATCGTGATTACCTGGACGAGTTCACAGATCTTTTGAAGCGGAGACGTCCCGACGTTATTGTCATGGGTGGCTTGAGCATGGCTACGACCAAGCTGTCATCGAAGGTTAGGGCTCTTATTAAAGGAGAGCCATCAAATTCGGATTCAACAGCAAATGGTGCGGATGGCTGGGGAGTTTCAGAGGCTCCCAAGGAAGCAAACGAACAGGCGTTCAACATTCCTGTGATGTACGTCCGTGATGAAGTTGCTCGTATGTACCAACACAGCAAACGAGCCGCGGAGGAATTCAGTGCACTGTCGCCTGTTGCCAAATATTGTGTTGGACTTGCTCGGTATGTTCAGAGTCCGTTGAACGAGTACTCCGCGCTTGGACACGACATTACGGCCATTCCCCTTGAGGATGAAGATCAGCACCTGGTATGTAACGGCTGCAGCCTTCTAGACTGATGCTGATCTGTGTGTAGATTCCCAAGGAGAAGTTACTCTCAGCTCTGGAGCGAACTCTGGTTGACGTCACGAATAAAGTTGGAGTTGATATCAACCGCGCTGTCAACGACTCCTACTATCAGCATTTATTGCCTTTCGTCTGCGGACTCGGCCCACGAAAAGCCCAGGTTTTAGTCAAGAAGATTTCTGCCATGGTCAATTCACACTGTTTTTTTTTTATTTGGACTTACTCACGTGCCGCCAATAGGGTGGAAATCTGATAAATCGTGACCAATTCATCAAGTCATCATTGTTAACGACCAAAATTTTCCTTAATGCCGCTGGATTCCTGCGCATCTCACGGGATCCTGAAGTCAAGCTTTCCAAGAATCGACATGCTGACGATGACGTTCAAGATCCCCTTGATGATACTCGTATCCACCCCGAGGATTATGAATTGGCCCGCAAAATGGCAACTGATGCCCTGGAGTTGGATGAAGAAGACATTCATGATGAACATCCTTCTCATGTTGTCTCAGTCATCATGCAGGATGTTGACAACGAAAAAAAGTTGAACGAACTTAACCTCGACGAGTTTGCCGTCAGCATGTATGAGGCGAATGAAGACCGTAAACGTCATACATTGAATGTCATTCGGGAGGAGCTGCTGAAACCATTCTCCGAACAAAGGGCTCCTTTTCCTTCTCTAGGGCCATGGGATGTTCTCACGATGCTCAGTGGAGAGACTCCTCGAACCCTCCGTATGGGTCTTATTGTTTCGATCATGGTGGTCCGCCTTGAGCAAACTCTCGTCCATATTCGTTTGGATTCCGGTATCGAGGGCGTCATTGATATCGGGTACCTTACTGAAGAAGGCAACATAGCCCCCAAGGATGTCGTTAAGAAAGGACAAACTATACCAGGTGTCATCGTCGATGTCAAGCTGGATTTACCTGCAGACCAGTTCTTTGTTAAAGTGTCCGTTCGTCAGTCTGATCTTCGTGCGGGCGATGGCCTTTTCCGATCTGTCAAACGAGACGATCAATGGAACCTTCCACAGTTTGAACGGGATTCGGAGATGCAGGCTCGTAAAAAACGCGCAGAGATTGATCGGACGAGGAGAGTAGTCAAACATCCCAATTTCCACAACTTCAATGCCACCCAGGCTGAGAACTACCTTGACAAGCAACAGCGTGGCGATGTTGTAATTCGCCCATCTTCCAAAGGCGTTGATCACCTCGCTGTAACTTGGAAGGTTGACGACAAGCTTTATCAGCATATCGGTACGTACATTAATCATTGGAAGTCGACTTCACTCTCATCCCACCACAGACGTTACCGAAATTAATACAGGTCAAGGAGGAAATTTACTCATCGTCGACGAAAAGCATCAATATGCTGATCTAGATGAATTGATTGTTAATCACGTTCAGGCGACCGCCCGTAAAGTGGAGGAGTTGATGGCTCACGAAAAATTCAAGCACGGCTCTGAAGATGAACTTCGTACGCTAAAGGCCCTATATTTGAATGCCTGGGATTAATATTCGTATTCCAGATCTGTTTTTGAAAAACTTCGTTGCGGCCAATCCTGCAAAGAGTATATATGGCTTCACCTTGAACCGGAGAAAGCCTGGCCACTTCAACTTGTGCTTCCTTGCTAACAAGAACTCCACCGTTCAGACATGGGTAAGCAGGCGTTACTTGTGTGTATCTCATGCTTAATTGTATCGCAGCCTGTCCGAGTTATGCCCGAATCTTATTGTCTATTTGATGCCGCAGTAGCTGGTGTTCCTGAGCTTTGCGATGCCTTC